TTTTTCAGAGTAACTGCACGATTTTACAATCCCATCAGCAGTGTAGGAGAGTTCTGATTTTTTCACATTCTAGCTAACATTTGTTATTATCTGATGACTTTATGATTATAGCCATCCTAGTGGATGTGAAGTGGCATCTCCATTGTGGTTTTGATTTGCATTTCCCTTATGGTTGGTGATGTTAAGCATCATTGCACGTGCTTATTGGCAATTCGTATTTTCTTTGGAGAAATGTCTGTTTAGACCCTTTGCCTAACCAAGCATTGATTGGGTTGTCTTTTTATTATTGAGTTGTATATGTATTTTAGATACAAATTTCTTTATCACTTATGTGATTTGAAAATATTTTCTCCCATTCTGTGGGTTGTCTTTTTTAATTTAATGGTATCAAATTTTTTTTGTTTTTTTAAATTTTTTATTGGGAACAGTGTACTTTTCCAGGACTTCTTAGCTCCAAGTCAAGTAGTTGTTTCAATCTAGTTGTGGAGGGCGCAGCTTCAGTGGCCCATGCGGGGATCGAACCGACAACCTTGGTGTTATGAGCACTGCGTTCTAACCAACTGAGCTAACCAGCCGCCTCCAGGTATCAAATGTTTTTAATTTTGATAAAGTCCGATTCATTTATTATTTTGTTACTTGTGCTTTTGATGTCGTATCAGAAGAAACCATTGCCTAATCCAAGGTCATGTAGATTTACTTCTATGTTCTCTTCTAAAAGTTTTATAATTTTGGCTTTTACATTTAGGTCTTTGACCCATTTTGAATTAATTCTTGTGTGTGGTGTGAAGGAGGGATCCTCATTCTTTTGTGGGTGAATATCCAGTTGTCCCAGCACCATTTGTTAAAGAGACTATTCTTTCCCATTGAATTATCTGGGCATCCTTGTTGAAAATCAGTTGACCATTAATGTCAGAACTTATTTCTGGACTCTGTTCTATTCCGTTGCTCTATGTGTGCATCTTAATATGGACACATTACCACACAGTGTTAATGAGTGTAGTTATGTAGTATGGTTTGAGAATAGGAAGTATGAGTCCTCCAACTTTTTTTTTTTTAAAGATTTTATTGGGGAATTGGGGAATTGGGGGAGGAAGGGAACAGTGTTGGGGAATTGGGGAAGGGGAACAACCAAGTTGTTGTCCTTCAATCTTAGTTGTGAAGGGTGCAGCAAGCTCAGCTCTAAGTCCAGTCGTGCCGCTCAGCTCAAGGTGCTGTGTTCAATTAGTTGTGGGTGGGCATAGCCACCATCCCATGTGGGAGTCAAACTGGCAGCCTTGTTGTTAAGAGTGCGCACTCTATCTCTTGAGCCATCCGGGCGGCATCTCAGCTCAAGGTGCCGAGTTCAGTCTTAGTTGTGGGTGGGCATAGCCCACGATCTCGAACAGGCAACCTAGTTAGGAGCACGTACTCTCACCAGCTGAGGCAAATCATCATGTCAGAACCAAGAGAGTTTGCACACCACATTGTTGTAAACAACCCACTTCTTTTCACCAGTTATCAGTCACTTCAAAAAAGGATTGTTTTCCTCACGTTCAATGAGCATATTGCAGATGTTTATACGTGCTGTCAAATGAACTTTTTTGAGTTCATATGGAACCCAAATATCAAGCTTGCTTATGTATCCCAGCTTCTTCAGGTGATCATGAATGCTTGAATGATGGATGTTCAATGTTTCTGCAATCTCTCATGTCGTATAACGTGGGTTTGACTGGATCAATGCCTTTATTTTGTCGTCATCAACCTCGGTGGGCCTCCCTGACGGAGGAGTGTCCTTGAGATCAAAATCACCAGCACGGAATTTCGTGAACCATCGTTGGCACTGACATTCTTGTAGAGCATTGTCACCGTAAACTTTATGCAACTTTTCACAAGCTTGACGCACGTTCTTCCCTTTATGGAAGTAAAAGTAAAATATGGCCAAAATGCACAGTTTGGTCTTCCATCTTCAACTTGTTGTAAAATCTCCAAACTTCAATAAAATTGCTCAATTTTGTTTAGAATGAAGCTAGAACTGTCAGCTGTCAAATGCCATAGAAATAACATGGATGCGAATGACTATTATTTCCAAAAATGAACTCGTGCCATCTGTTGCAAACATGCATCATGACTTTTCCGAAGATTCAATATATTACAAGGTTATAGTAATCAAAACAGCATAGCACTGGCATAAAAACAGACACATAGATCAATGAAACACAACAGGGAGGCCAAAAATAAAACCATGCCTATATGGTCAATTAATCTATGACAAAGGTGGCAAGAATATACAATAGGGTAAAGACAGTCTATTCAATAAATGGTGTTGGGAAAACTGGACAGATACATGAAAGAAATGAAACTGGACCACCTTAAAAAAACACATACTAGAACAAACTCAAAATAGATTAAAGACTTCAATTTAACTCCTGAAACCATAAAACTCCCAGAAGAAAACATAGGCAGTAAACTCTGTGACATTGTTCTTAGTAATATTTTTTTTCTGATCTATCTCCTTGGCAAGGGAAACAAAATAAATAAAAAATAAACAAGACTACTTCAAACTAAAAATTTGCACAACAAAATGAAATGAAAAAACAACCTCCTGAATGGGAGAAGATACTTGCCAATAATACATCTGATGAGAAGTTAATATCCAAGATATAAAGCACTCATACAACACCAAAAAAACAATTTGATTAAAAAATGGGTAGAGGACCTGAATAGACATTTCTCTAAAGAGGACATACAGATGGCCAGTAGACATGTGAAAAGATGCTCAACATCACTAATCTTTAGGAAAATGCAAATTAAAACCCCAACAAGATATAACTTCACACCTGTCAGGATGACTGTCATCAATAAATGTCAGCAAGGATGTGGAGAAAAGGGAGCCCTCCTGCCCCGTTGGTGGGATTGCAAATTGGTGCAGACAGTATGGACAACAGTATGGAGATTTCTCAAAAATTAAAAATAGAAATACCATATGACCTAGCAATCCCTCTTCTGGATATATGTCTCAAGAAACCCAAAACATGAATTTGAAAACATGTCTACATCCCTATGTTCATTGTATCATTATTACAATAACCAAGATATGGAAGCAATTTAAATGTCCGTTAATAGATGATTGTATAAAGAAGATGTGTGTATATATATAATGGAATATTACTCAGCTTTAAAAAAAAGAATCAAATCTTACCATTTGTGACAAGATGGATTGACCTAGAGGGTATTATGCTAAATGAAGTAAGTGAGACAAACACAAACACCATATGATTTTACTTATATGTAGAATCTAAAAACAAACACAGCAGCATGTGGCAACTGCTCAGGTAGAGGTGGGGAAGGGCACAGGTGGGCTGGGGACCTTGTGCTAGGTGCCTGTTATTCTCTTTGTGTGAGCTGCGAGGACTAAGCGTTTTCATCTACTGAGAGCAGCAGGTATATGCAGGGGTTACCCGACTAGCCGCTTTGTGCACCTGCCTCCTGGAAGTCGGTCTTCCTGTGACTTCGCTGGCCGCCGCTGGGTTGGGGTGTATAATGAATCCCAGTATGAAGCAGAAACAAGGAATTCAAGAGAATGTAAAGAATAATCTTATCCCAAGAAGAACTCTGAAGATGATTCAGCCTTCTGCAGCTGGATCTTTTGTTAGAAGAGAAAATGACTTGGTTAAAAGCTTGTCCAAAATGAAACATTGGAATGACCAGTTAACATCTAAGACTTCCAGCTCTGGAGTTGTTATTGTCCCAGAACATAGTGAAAATAAAAATCCTGAAGAAGTTACCCAAGAAGCATTTGATCTCATGATTACAGAAAACCCGTCCTCTCAATATTGGAAAGAAGTGGCAGAAAAATGGAGGAAGGTGCTCTACGAAGCACTAGAGGAAAATGAGAAACTTCATAAAGAAATTGAATAAAAGGACAGTGAAATTGCCCCCCTGAAAAAGGAGAATAAAGAGTTGGCAGAAGTAGCAGAACATGTGCAGCATATGGCAAAGGCCATAGCGAGACTGAAAGGTGAACCTCTGGATAACTGAATCACCGGATAGTCAGGAATTGGATTCTGAAGAAGAAGCTGGTGAGGATTCTGAGGCTTCTCAGAAATGGGTACATGTGCTGAAGAAATTGTCTCTTTCTCTACAGATGCAAAACCATGTATATATGAAATTCATTGATATTTGACTCTTGAGAAATAATACTGCCAAAGTTTACCTCCATTATAGTTCTTTTGAGCAGAGCAAATAACTTCTGTAATGCAAAGTTGAAATCAAACTTCCTTATTTGAATCCTGGGACCCTATTGCAATAAAATACAAATTCTAAGTATTTTTATCCTATGATATTTTATGTAAATAGCATTTTCTCAGATGTCACACATGACTTCTGTATATAATAAATAAACTTGTCTCCTAAAAATTAAAGTAAAATAAAATTTAAAAAGCAAAATAAACAAACAAACACATAGATCCAGAATAATCTGGTGGTTGCCCAATGGGAGGGTTTTGGGGGGCAGGGTGAAAAAGGTGAAGGGATTAAGAAGTACAAATTGGCAGTTAACAAAATAGTTCACGAGGATGTCAACTACAACATAGGGAACATAATCAATATTATTGTAATAACTATTTATGGTGCCAGGTGGGTACTAGACTTATTGGGGGGATCACTTCGCAAGTTATATAAATGCCTAACCACTATGCTATACTACCTGAAACTAATGTAATATTAAATATCAACTGTAATTGAAAAATAAGAAAAAATTAAAAATAAATACAAGAACTATAAAGTAAAAAAAATAAAAAAGAAGAAGCAGAAGAAGGGTCCCCCAGTGAGCTTCCCTTGGAAAGCTGAGGGTACCCAAGGCCTGGTGAAGGGATAGAGCCCATTTTAGGATGTGCCAGTAAGTGCAGGCTTACATAAATGAAATCCCTAAGCAGGTGTCCTTAGGAATCTACTCATCATCGCAATCTGCTCGTGTATGGAGATGGAACAAGAGATCTAAGATGCTTTCTTTTCTCCCTCAGCGCATCTATTATCTTTCCCTGGAGTTCTACATGGGCCGTACACTGCAGAACACGATGGTGAACCTGGGCCTTCAGAATGCTTGTGATGAAGCCATCTATCAGGTACGAATCCTTGAGGTCAGGCTGCCAGGTAGCCTCTCGTGGCACACTGAGATTTTAATTGAGGACACTTGGAGTTGAGCACTGATGTTAGGATTCTCAGCTGTCTAGGACTAGAGAAATGTCTTACGGTGTACTCTACCCTGTGTGTGGGGACATGGCTCCTGGGCGACACTCCTTTTTCTCTAGGGGAGAAAGTAAAAACTGGATGGGGAGCTAATACACTGGAATGCAAGGACTGAGTTGCATTGTGATGCTAAGGTTTGGAGGCTTCTAGAAGCCATTGTACTTCTCACCCTCACCCCAGGGGCAGATTTACCATGTGTCAGAAATGGTTGGTATTGTCCCATTTCTCCTTGTTTAATTGAGCTAGTAACCTACCTCTGATGTCCCTCTCTGCGCATAAGATAACCTTTTGCCCTTAAGATAACCTTTTGCACTCATCCTATCCTCTAGTTATAAAATTGCCCTTTCTCGCCTAATCAGAATAGAAACTGCCTTTTGCTTAAAGGTTCATCATTAACAGTTATTCATTTGGAGGCCTTTCACAGTTCATTCGCAGTTTTAGAGCAGAGCTGGAATTGGTCATGTCTGTTTTCTGTCTCTCCACTTTCCCCGAACACCATCTTCCTCCCTCACCTACTCAGTGTAGAATTTCTGGAGTGTGAATATGCATCACTTCTGCCCTTTTTGCATGTATATAGAAGGGTCCTCACTAGAGTTGTCCTACCCGCCAGCACCTTCTATTGCTTTTTGATTTTTGGATAGAAGATGCTCTGGGGCCGTCTTCAAGGAGGTGTGGTATGAGCCTTGCATTGCTGTCAGTCAGCCCAGCATCGTGGGGCTCATGTCTCCCTCTCCAGGACTTAGTGAAGAGGAACATCTGGGCCAAATAGTTTACAATAAAATTTTGGAACAAAAAATTGACTCCCCAAAATAGGAATCTAATGCCCAAAATTATCTCAAAAGATAGAGGTTATCCTGGTAAGTGATTTGTCGTTTCAGCTCCATTTACTGAATATGAATGTTAGAACATGTCTGCCAAGACTACAGAACATACAGTCTCTTAGATCTCCCATGGATTTTAGTTTTATTAAGCCGTTTTTTCCCCCAAATATTTTATCTCTGTACAATTCTTATAGCTAGTAAAGATTTGAGGGAATGTTTATACTATAAATATGCAATATCTGTTTATAATTTTTATTATAGAAATAATGTGTTAATTATAGAAACTTACAAAATACAGGGAAGCATATATCCTTTTAAACATTGTACATTTTTTTTTTCCTTAAAAGTGCTGTTTCCCTTGCTATTTAGCTTGTGTTTGAAAATTTTTCATGATGGTCAAACCCTTACTGTCTCACTTGCTGGGCCTTCTAGTCCTATGTTGGGTGCCAGATGTTTTAAGTGCGAAATAAATGATGCAGAGCTGAGATAGGCTTTCTCCCCCAGGCACCCGGTTTGTAATGTAATGTGAAAAATATAACATGGCACAGTTGCATCATAGAAGGCTGGAAAGTAGTTCTGGGGAGCAGTTTACCTTAAAAACTAGAACTTCAAAAGAAGCTGCTCTCTCCTGATGGAGCTATCAAGAACACATTTAAGAATGTTTTCTTTATAGAAAAATTTAAATATATATAAAAATGAGTGACTGTTATAGTGAACTTCTTCTGCATACCCATCAGCTGGCTTCACCGGTCATCAAGCCCAACTCATGGCGTCTTGTTTCACTTATATCCCCACCATTTCCAGATTATTTAAGCCAACATCAGGCAGTGTAATATTTTACTTGTAAATATTTCAACAGGTCTCTCTAAAAGTTAGTCACAACATCATAATCCCTGAAATATTGACAGTAATTGTTTAACATCAGTTTTTCAGGCATTGTACAAGTTTTCGATTGCCTTATAATCTTTAAACAATATATTCAGAAACTAAGTTTCATTTGCTTGATATGTCCCTTAAATCTCCTTAATCTACAGGCTTCTCCTCTTTTTATGTTCATGACTTGTCGTTTATTTGTTGAAACTGGGTTTGTCCTGTAGTATCCTACCGCCTACATTTGACTGATTGTGGTGCCAGCTGGTATTTAATCTGCCTCTTTGTCTTAAGGATGTCGCTGTCACCACTTCTACTCAACATTGTACTGATGGTACTAGCCAAGGTATTTAGGCAGGAATATGAAATGAGGCATCCAGATTGGAAAGAAAGAAGGAAGACTACTCTATTTGCAGATGACATGATCTAGAAAATCCTAAAGAATCCAGTAAAAATATAATAGAACAAATGAATGATTTTGGCAACATCTCAGGATACATGATTAATATACAGAAATCAACTATTTTTATATACCTGCAATGACCAATCCAAAAATGAAATTAAGAAAATAATTTCACTTAAAATACTATCAAAAAGAATAAACTACTTAGGAATGAATTTCCAAAAGAGATGCAAACTTATATTCTGAAAACTATAAAACATTGTTGAAAAAAATTAAAGAAGACCTAAAAATGGAAAGGCATCCCATGTTTATGGCTTAAAAGACTTAATGTTGTTAAGATGGCAGTACTCCAAATTGATCTACAGATTCAATGCAATTCCCACTAAAATTCCAGTTGGCTTCTTTACATAGATTGATAAACTGATCCTAAAATCCAGATGGAAATGTAACAGACCAGGAATCATTAAAACAACCTTGAAAAAGAACAAAGTTGGAGCACTCGCACTTCCCAATTTCGTAACTCACTACAAAGCTACAGTCGTCAACACTGTGTGATACTGGCAGAGGATAAACATATATGACATTGGAATAGAGTCCAGCAATAAACCCCCACATTTATAGTCAAATTTTTCTTCAATATTTGAAAATTATGGTAAACTATACATAACATAAAATTTCTCATCTTAACCATTTTTAAGTATGAAGTTCAGTGGTACATTCATTTGTTGTCTTAACCATCTCCACCGTCTAGCTCCAGAACTTTTATCATATTGCAAAACTGAGATTGTAACCATTAAACATTAACTCCCCAGTCTCCCCTCTCCCCAACCCCTGACAACCACCATTCTATTTTGTTTCTATGAATTTGACAACTCTAGGTATCTCATATATGTGAAATCATACAATATTTGTCTTTTTCTGACTGGATTAATACCTTCAAGTTTCATTCATGTTATAGCATATGTCAGAATCTCCTTCCTTTTTAAGGCTGTATAATATTCATTGGATTGCTTCCACCTTTTAGCTATTGTGAATAGTGCTGTTATGAACATGAGTGTACAAATATTTCTGAGACCCTGCTTTCAGTTATTTGGGTATATACCTAGATGTGGAATTGGTAGATCATACGGTAATTCTATGTTTAACTTTTTGAGGAACCAACACACTGTTTTCTAGAGTGGCTGCACCATTTTACATTCCCACCAACAGTACACTTGAGTTGCAGTTTCTCTACATCCTCACCAATACTTGTTTTCTGTTTTGTTTTGTGTTGATAGTAGTCATTCTAATGGGAATGAGGTAGTATCTCATTGTGGTTTTAATTAGTATTCCCTTAGTGATTAATGATGTTGAGCATCTTTTTATGTGCCATTTATTGAACCATTTATATATCTTCTTTTGGAGAAATGCCTGTTTAAGCTTTTGCCCATTTTTGAATTGGGTTGTTTGTTTTTCTGTTGTTGAGTTTCAGGAGTTCTCTATCCTGGTTATTAATCCCTTATCAGGTATGCAATTTGCAAATCTTTTCTCCCATTCTGTAGGTTCCCTTTTCACTCTTTTGTGAGTATCTTTTGATGCACAAAAGTTTTTAATATTCATGAAGTTTAATTTGTTATTTTTTCTGTTGTTGCCTGTGGTTTTGGTGTTTTATATATGGTCCACTGATTTCTTAAAAGGAAAAGGTTGCTAAGATAATTCAATGGAAAAAGAATAGTTTTTTTCAGTAAATAGCACTGGAACATTTGGATATCCACATGCAAATGAAGGAAGTTGGAGCCCTATGTCATACCACATGTAAAAGTTAACTCAAAATGGATCAAAGACCTACATGTAAGAACTAAAACCATAAAACTTTTAGAAGAATATATAGGGGTAAATCTCTTGATTTGGCAATGGATTCTTAGAGATGACACCCAAAGCACAAGCAATAAAAGAAAAAAATAGATAAATTGGAAAAAATTAAAAACTTTTATACATTAAAAGACATTTTGAAGAAGGTGAACAGACAACTTACAAAATGGGAGAAAATATTTGTAAATCAAAAATATGAAAAGGGTCTAGTATCTAGAATATATTGAGAACTCTTACAGCTCAACAACAACAGCAATAAGACAACCCAATTTAACAATGGGCAAGGGACTTGAATAGACATTTTTCCAAATAAGATATACAAATGGCCAACAAGCATATGAAAAGATGTTCAGCATCATTAATCATCAGGGATTGCAAATCAAAACCACTATTAGACACCACTTCACACCCACTAAAAACAGCTATAATCATAAAGATAGAGAACAAGTATTGGTGACAATATGGAGAAATTGGAACCCTCATATACTGTTGGTAGGAAAGTAAAGTGGTGGAATCATTTTGGAAAATAGTCTGGCAATTACTCAAAAAGTTAAACATAGCATTACCATGTAAACCAACAGTTTCTACTCCAGTTTCTATCCAAGAAAAATAAAACATACATCTATACAAAAAATTGTACGTAAGTGTTCTTATTAGCATTATTCATAATAGCCAAAAAGTGGAAACAACCCAAATGTTCATCAGCTGATACAGGCATAAACAAAATGTGGTATTGCATACAATGGAATACTACACAGTGATAAAAAGGAATGAACGCAATCCGTTTCTGTAGGTCTATATATATTCTCAAGAAAAGGACATCTATTTTCTCATCATCTCTCAATAAGTCACAGTACTTGTTTGACTGGCATATAAGAGGCCCAGCTATTGTGACCGTTTCAAACAGACTCATTTGGGAGGTGTTCTCTTC